GTGCTTAAGAAAAATACACACTTCTACTTACCTGTGCTGCCCAATACAAATCACCAGCACAACTGTTAAGCATAAATCAATTACATTTTGTCTAAACAGTAGAATACAGATGCACTTGGGAGCATATTGATATAATCTGTAATGAGTTTTTAAGTGCACATATTGATGACTTTTCTACTCACATTAGTGAGGATGTCTTATAATAATTTATTTTCAATCCACTATTTTGACAAGTAATAGCTCCAGTATTACCTGTCAAAACATACTTAGAAGGAAAGAACTGAAATTTGCTTCTGAAGCCCTGCACAACAAATGGAAAAACTACCTTAATCACAATCACATAAAATTCTGCTGCACAACTTGAATATATTTGAAAGATCTTAATGCATTTCATACAGACAAGAAAACAAAGCTTTTATTGTTCTTTGCTTGTTACTGTTGTGCATGCTTTGTTTTAGATATGAGGTCAGCAATGATAGTTATCATTGCCTACCCCGCCATCAAAAAATGAAGATTCATTAAAGATGTTACCAACTTGCACATTTGGAGTAAAAGAATTTAAGTTTTTTCCCAGACACGTCTTTACGTTTTCTCTGCCTATAACAACACTTAAAATTCGCTGGTGTTCAGAAATTGATTTCAAAATTATTCTTACTTAGTTCTAAGGTACAATTACACTGTGCTTATTCAATTGTTCTTGGGCTTTGTACTACTTGATTCTGAAAAAAGCTCCCCAGATTTCATTTAATATATCCTACTCCCCCCAGAGAATACCTGAACACTCCAAACAAACCCCCCAAAATTATTTTACTCTACTTTCCACCTTCAAGACACACATCTTCATCTACTTGATATTTCTTCTGTCACCCAATCTCCTTTTTTCTAACAAACTAGAAAAAATTAGTTGAAAGACCCTGTGTTCTGATTTGGGGAGATTGAGAGTTGTTGCATGACATTTGGGACAGCAAAAGTATCTACTTATCATTGCAGTAAACTCAGGAATAAGTTAGCCTGGCTTTCCCTGCCATAGTGCCCGTTCTTCTGACTCTCTCAGGTGTCAGTGATGGTTTGAGAGGAGCTAGGTCCAGAGACTTTTAACTATCCTTAGATGTTCCCACAGAACTGGTAGAAGACCCATGAAAATAGTCCACTTAATTCAATACTGGGGAACAAACTCTGAGATGGGTTACATTATTTTTCTACTCAATTTGTTTCTACCTCCCTATGCTGGGTTTGTGTCTGGTGGGGTTTTGATAGTTGGGGAGGGAGCTGCTGGTGTGGGTTCCTGTAAGAAGCTTTGGGAAGTTCCCCCAGCTCCGAGTTTGTCCTGCTTCTGGCCAAGGCTGAGCCAAACAATGCTCTGTGATAATATATTTAGAAGTGGAAAAACCTGTTGAGCAACTTCTTTTGTTTTGGGGGATTTCTTTTGTTTGAGAGAGGAGTGGGACCTGAGAGAGATGACACTGAGGTCAGTGCTTTACAGCTTTCCTTAGTGTAACACAAAAATGCTTTTTTCTGTTCCCTAATTTGCAGCTTTCAATATTGTTCCTTTATTTTGTTTAAACTCAGGTATGTGACAAATATGCTACCAACACTGTTCCATGCACTACCAGTGTGTACAATGCTTTTTGATATAAATTATGTGCATGATAGCTGAATGATGGGACTGACTTTATCTCTGCAGTCTGGTTTAGGTCAAGTGAGATCCAGGTGACGACATTTCATACAAAGCCAACTAAGTGTGAAAGGTTATAAGTAAAAGAGCTTCTCTTTTCCTGCAGCTTCATTTTAGGAAAACAAATTAATAAAGAATTCACTGTAACATCTTCATTTGATGTGCTCAGCTGTAAAATACATATATTCTCAAAGCTGAAGTTACTCAGATATATAACACATGTTAATGAACCCAATTTTTTCTGCAGATGCAATTAAAATCCCCATCTTTATCTATGCAGTCCAGGTTAAAAAGGCTGATATCAAGCAGCAGGACTACATAAACGAAAAAAAAGCAAGCTAAACAGAAATGATGACATGGAGATGGAAAGCAGATGAAGTCCCAGAGAGAAATGATCCTGCCTTGCAGCAGAAATAATGATCAGGCTGCCAAGACACAAAAGCAATCAAAAAGGAATCAAAGGAAAAAGAAAAACAAAATTAGAGAAGATCTTAATCTCTAATGGTATGTAACAGTGTTTGTATTTCATGTTTGAAATTTCAGTTGGTCTCCTGCTATAAGGATATGCTATGTAAGAACGGATAAGAATAAGAAAAATAAGCATAAGAAAAAATAACCATGAAATGTCATTGTATTCTTTTCTCACACAGGGATTCCCGCTGCTGGCTCACCATCAATACCATTAATTACACTACGTGCAGATGTTGTACGAGGAGAAAACGTCACTGCCATGCCATATTCACAGAGCTGCAGGATCTAAGACTGGAGGTGAATTAGCTACTGGATACCTGGTCTCTAATGCTCTGCCTTGCGTGTATCAAACTCACTTGACCTATGAACACACAGTGAGCTAAATATGCACAAAAAATACACAAACATAAGCATTGCACAAACAATCCATTGACTAGATTGGTCTCTCACTATACTCAGGGAATATATTGCTGCTAAATGCTAATCACTTCTGGAGGTGATTACTATTCTGATCAATGTTTTTTTTTAGGGTGCAGTCATCAAAGTCTAGAGTTAGCTTAAAACTGCTAAGCAGTTATTGGAGGGAATGAGTAAAATTTCATTTAGTTACATCAAAACAACCTTCTAGACAGTGGCTGTCTGTGGCCTGCAGTATTAAGATAAACTCAAGTATTTAAGTACACTTTCTGCAATGGGTTGCTTATTAGAATCAGATTTTTTTCTTAGCAGTAACTTCATTATATAGAAAGTAATTAGTAAAGAAATGGGCAAAATTTCATTCGTTTAATTCCAAATGACTGTTAGTGCCTAGACTAGACAAGGCCTGTAGACTCGAGATAAAATTAAAATTTCTGATAAAATTACCCTCTGCTATGCACTAATTGCCTTCAGGTATGTACAGGCAGTGGTGTTAATGTAGGTTGAATTTACATGTGGAAAGTGATTCTACAATTACAATGCTATATGTTGCTTAAACTGTAAAAAATGTACTCTCTTTAAAAAATCTGGTAAAATGGTAAAAGAATGAGCCGCCAGAAAGGAATCACTGTTTCCAAGCAGTTCAAGAAGTTATGTAATCATTGCAATCATAGGATTCCAGCCATGTGAAAAAAAACCAAACCAAACCAAACCAAACCAAACCAATCAATGCCAACATAGAACAGCATTAGGCTTTATGGTGCATTCTCCCATGTTCCAAGTTTAAAAATGCAAATACATTTTCATTTTGAAATACAGCTCCTCCATGTCTTACTCAAATATCAGCTATCATCTGATTACATCTATAATACATTTTTACTGTTACAAAAGTTTTTCTGGATGACAAGTCCTGTCTCATCCTTCCTAGTCTCTTTCTTTCTTTTTGAACTGTTCTTGAACTGCTGTATTGATAGCTTTTCTAACATGTTTCCCTGAGCCTCAGGTACCTTAGCTTCTTGTATTGCTAAGGGCGTTCCACTTGCAACCCTGCAGCCTGTCTCCCACATGCAGCTCCCTACACCTTCACACAAGTTCCCAGGACAGAGTACCCCAGAACATGTGTAGTAGTATTTTTCCTATAAAACTCTGTTTGTTATTCATCTCCTGGAGTTATACTTGCAAACCCTAATACTGATGTCATGGCAGGTTCCCCAGGGAGGTGGTAGAAACTGTTGTAATAATCACTCCTTCTTTGTGCCCTTTTCTGATTTCTACATTTGGTTGTAGCTTTTGGTATACACTACAGGATGCATTAATGCATTTGCTGAAACCTCAGCAATGGACCTGACACACAGCACCTTCCCCAGTCAACAGGTGCTCCCAGCCACAACAGCAGCAACATAAGGCAGGACCAATCCATGAGGAGTTCAATTACGTCTCAGCATAAAATACAGTGTTATTCTGGGAAAAGTATGATGGGGAAACCACCTGCTCTACTGGAAAGGATGCTGAGGGCTGGACATTCCTCTTTTTGATTGGTTACTGAGAATTTTTTCCCTCTTCCAACCATGTTTCACTTAGTTTATATTTTTTTCCTTTCACTCCCCCTTCCCCCAGATAACTTCCACCATTAGAACTGATGAACACCATCAAATAGGGACCTGTTAATAAATCTTCATCCAATACACAGTGGCTTGTTACTACTTTTTCCATCACATTCCTTATATAACAAAAAAAGTATTATTACTTTTGATTTCCCTTCACACACAGCACATCTTTTATTATAACACTTCAATTGTTAGAACAGTGTCTTCACATTTAGTCTTTTACTTTCATAATTTTACTTTGCCCTGTAAAATTGAAGTTGAAATACCATGGATAATTTTGCATTATATTACTGCATATGCTGTTGCAGATCTTTTCTAGCACCCACTATGTGCTAAAAAAAATTTCCTGTGTTTCTTAAGCAAATCCAAATCCTCAGTGATCTTAAGTAATGTTTAATCTATATCATATAAAACTGAAAACTGAAAGGTGTTGACATACATGAACTTTCTCGTAACAGCATGATACAAGTGTTTTCTTGACACAATAGAGGAAGCGCTATTTTCAATCACCTCCTGATATTTCCATTATGATTTAAACAGGAAAGAAAATAATAAAATCACTGCGGACCAAGAGATTTCCAGTTTTTCAGAGTATGAAAATACCTACAAAATAAGTGCTGTGACCTGGTAATTTCGCAGGGGATATTACATTTCCTATATTCATAGTAATTTTCATTGTATAGACACTTTTAACTGGTAGCAACCTAAAAATAAGTCACTTCTTCTGCGTATCCAGGAGGCAGACAAACATATATACATGGAAGAGACAGAAATCTTGTGTAAGGGATTACTCAGCTGCAATATTGTTAACATTGTATATGCTTCCTTACCCTGGATCTCTCCTCTAGTTTTGTCATCATGACAACAGTTGCACCTCGTTGCTCCCACATCATTCTCCAGAAGTCACCAAAGGTTTCTGGCAATGCGCCTTGTGTTGCTATATAAGCATTCTGCTTTCTGTATCCATCTATGTAGTTGGCATTGATATAGTCACTGCCTGGTATACCTGCAAAGAGAGAAGAGGGAAAACTCAGGGCAGCATGGTGCTGTCTTGTTGTACAAAGGCTAAAAAGTCCTGTGACACAGCTAGATATAAAAGTAGCTTGAAAATCTATAGCAGATGGAGAGACCTGGGAGCTGGAACAGCAGCATTTAAAAGCTGGTCTGACACTGCCTGCAGTCACCCACCAGTATACCAGCCTCTCCCTAAACTAGACAGGGGTGCCTCTTCATGAGATGCCCTGAGTAAGCTCCATTTAACGCTCCTGTTGAGCTCATTGCATTTCTTTTAAGTATAGAAAAAGGGTTAATGTTGCCAGACTATTAGTGGTACTGCTACATTCATTTTTCCCATTAAGTGGGAAGGTAACTATGACCTTTATTTTAACAAGTTGCATTATGTAAATCAGGTTTAAAAAATGGTGGAATCTGCTATACAGTGTGTGTATGAAATAAGGCCCTCTGCAAGCCTGAATAAACATTAAATGCATGAAAAGAAGGTGGAATCCAATACCTGTGGGCACACTGGACCTACACCGTCAATTGCTTGAGGCTCAGGTATTTCGGACAAGACTTACAGAGGGACTTTGAGTGTGTCTACAAGACACATGTCCACACTTTGACCCACATGGAAGTAAGCCAGCTCCTAACTGTAATTTCTCTAACTGAGAGTGGGCAGTGCCATGACTGTACTGAGAGCTGGAGCCTAATATTCTTCCTGTGAAGGATGAAGAGGAGTATTGGCTGAAGATCATGTTACTAGTCTGGATTAATAACACAGCCATGCTCATAGAAAGCAGTAGACATTGACCTACAGGTCTCAGTCTGATCTCCCCTGGATTCAGCAGTGCAGTATTCAGCTTTTAACTCAAACTATGTGGATGTTGGAAGACAAAGCATGGCAGCCATCAGTTTTGATGTCACTGCTGTTTTTTCAACTGATGACTTGAGGAAGAAAAGATGTTCATGTGAGATGTCAGTGCTGGTGGGATGGTAAAGCAGTGTTCCACACATTACTGCAGTGCTAATCATGGAAATGTTCCCAGAAGAGTTACCTGAAATACAGAACTGTGCATTTTAAAATGATACAAAAGGTTTGCTAAAGTAACTAACAGAAGTTCCCTCTTTAAGCAGAAATGAATGATTTATGTTTACATGCCAATCTGCCATGCCATGGTGCAGGTTCCACGAACTATTTTAAAAGAGATTCAAGGTGATAGAAGCTCCCTGAATTATCCTAAAGCTGTAACTATTGCCACTCCACAAAGCAAGAGCTGAATTTCTTTGGGTATGAAACACAATAAATTATTGAGCATGTTTAAAGAAATGTTTCTCAAGCTTTTTGCCAGAAACTGATCCATCAAATCTATTCTGATGTATTTTCTCCTCCTACAGATCCCAAACCAGGAATGACCAGAGCTGCATGCTCCTGTCTTTCCTGGCAAATGTCTGCAAATGTCTTCCAAAATAATTTGAATTTGAAAAGAAAGTAGAGGTACCTTTTTAGTACTTCTTGTTTGTTTGTTTTTAGCTACAAACTGGAGTTTCTCCATTCACTCTGGGGAAGCTTAGTGTTTCATTCCACTACTTACTTAGCAATAAACAAACTCAGTGATTAACTGTGACACTAATTAGGACCAAATATAATCTTGAAATTATTCAGATTTTGGTTTATTGTAGATGTAGTCTGGCATAAAATGTTTCCTTTATGACCAAGAAAGAATAATAGATTTTCTTCTTTTGTATGCTCAAGTTGTATTTAAACCCAAACTTTAATTTTATTTGACTTTCCATACTGTTAAAGGAAAAATCTGGCAGAATATTTTATGGAAGGAAAGATTTTTTAACTTCAGCAGCACAAGAGAGGCTGCAAATGGCACTGCTCAGGGAAGATGCATGGATGGACACAGGAAGACTGGCTGACTATGATTAGAACTGATTAGTCTCTTCTGAGAGAAAAAATTAAAAACCAAACCAAACCAAACCAAAACCAAAAAAACCCCAACTTTTAAAACCAGCACAATTTATAGCTGAAAATCATGACTTTCCACCATGAAAGGCAGAAATGGCAGTTCAAAAGCCTCCCTCTTACAGACTTGCAACTTTTTTACATGACACTTCTTACTGTGGATGTTGGAATTAATGATTTAGAAAATATAACTGCTAGACACAATGCTGTATTTTCTTCCTTTATCAAGATAATAAAACATTTTTTGCACAAAACAGATGAGAAAGAAAAATGAAGCCAACAGGAGAAATCTACACCAACTGGGTATTATTACCAAAGGAACTGAGAAAGCTGGTTAGAAATGTTTTCTGCATAAATTAGAATTATATTATGATGCCTGGTATCACATTTTGAAGCATATGTTATAAATAAAAGCCTGAGGAAAAAATGCAAAAGAAAAACAACACTTTGTAAAGTGGTTAAATGATCTTCTGGGAAAGCTGTCCTCTGGAGCTGATACTGCACAAACTCAGCGTGAAAATTAAGCATGAGAAGTATTGCAAACTGTGCTACAAATCTTAGCAGTCAATCCTAGTACCTGATGTAAAAAAAATTCAGACTGTCTAAAATTGTAGATAGTCCGTCTACTTACTAAGTCCTATTAAAAGTATTGACAAATCATATTAAAGTAAGTAACTTCTAAATTAAATATACCCTAATTCTTTAAATTAGAATAAAGAAAAGCTTCTAGATTACAAGTTCCTTGATCACAGATGCAAGTAAGAAAGTACTAAGGTTAACAATTACTCATATTTCCAAAAAGGTTTTCTTCCCAGCTAGGTTAAAGTAGAAATTTCTACTATTTTGCCACTTGCTTTTTATCAAGAGGAGATAAAAAAAATCCTGTATATTCTAAGGCCATTAGAAAAAATCCTTTTACAAGGCAATTCACCTTCATGGTACATGAAAAGGATGTGGCTGGAAAATGGATAGGACAGTCCACTTTCCACAGATCCTCTTAGTGACCTAACTATTGCAGTTTTGGGAAAAACTAGGTGCTGCTCCAACACTTTGCACTGGGAGATTTTCATCAAGGGTTTATCTCTAGCAGAATATAGTACTCTATAGGGTTATATCTCTACTGAGATCAAGAGAACAATAGGAATCATATTGCTCAGCGCCATTGTCTTTCCCACCCACAATATCCATTAGGTGTTTTCTTTGTTCTCCATCCTTTCTCATTGTCCCTTCAAGTACCTAACACACACTTCTTACAGGGAGTCTCTTTTCATCACTGTTTTCACGCATGACCTCAGTTTCACATCCTGTTCCAAAATCCTTTTGTATTCTGTAACACCATTTTCTCACTCTCACTTTCCACCTCACATTTTGCCACAGAAGTTTTTGCTTCATCAGCTATGTCCCCCCAACGAATAAACTTAAAGCCCCCTAGGGAGGGTGCTACTCATAAGATGCCTAATGAAGCGTGTATAGTTTAAAAATAACATATACAAAACCTGAACATCTGTAAATATCTATACTGACCAAGCAGAAACAATTATCAAAGGCAAATAAACCTAAATATTAAAATGTCACTTTCTGTAATGACTTTTCTGGGCATAACCTCATTCTGAGCTGAGAAAGCTGAACAATTCTCTGTCAAATCTAATAGGGCAAAAACAATCAAACGACAACTAGAATGACTGCAGTACAATGAAATCCTACAAACCTTTGTTAGCTGCGGTAGCTTGAAGGCAACACACCCACAAGCACAGCAACAATTACAATCATTGCTTAGATCTGGGCTTATTAGTTAAGAGAGGTCAGTTGTTCTGCAAAAGCATGGGTCAAATAAGGGGACAAAGTAATGAAATTCTGCCTTCAGTAATATTGATATGAACCTTAGCTAAGTCTATTGGCATCAGTGGGGTTTGCTGCAGATTTAGAATGGCTATACTTAAAAGTATAAGTTTAGGGTAATCCACTCACTATAACCTGACTTTTACAAGTTTCATGAAGGCAGAGACACAATTTCTTCACAAAAAGTCAGACAAAGACTAAGCTTCCAGATCATGATTTTACCGTAACTATTTTCTAGTAGCCTTTTCAACTATGGTGATGAATGATCATAGTCTGCAATCTCCTTATTCTGCCAGACAGGAATTAGGCACAACGGAAGAAGAATCAGATGAGTAGCTGAGCATAAAAGACATTCAGTTTTCAAATATCTCAAGAGAACAAAGCAGTCCAGATTTTAGAGAGTAAGAGCGAATGAGCAGTGAAACAAAATTTGCCAATGCCACAAATTAAAGTGCAAAAGATTTAAAAAAATGAACCCAATACCTCCTGATTTATACTGAGACTATACTCCTGAACTGAGATGACAGTGCTGTTTGCTGCAACATAGACTCAGGCCCACAAGGCCAATAACATAGACCTCAGAATTATTCACTTGATCTCCTGAAGACAGTTATAATTTTAAGTAGTTTTAATTAGACTTCAGATATTATTCATAAAGTGAAATCAAATAACGAAATTATTTCAAGCCTTTAGAAAGTCTAAATACTGAGCAGCCTTTCTATTTAAAACACATTAAACTGTAAACCTTTGTTATATACTGCTCCCCTAAGAGATGTGCTGTTAATCATAAAAAGAGTGTGAAATAATAGGATTAAATTCTGTCATGCTTGTAAACAAGTTGGAAAAATAAAAGATGAACTTAAATGGCTACAACTGGTTTAAAGCAATGACTGATATTTTGAACTATGTCAGGGCAAAAATGAACTAAGGCAGCTACTAGGTTCCAGTAAAAGCTTTTTATGTGAAAGATTTTGTAATATAAAATCTATACAGTTAAGGAGATTATCAAATTCAAATGGTCTAGGCACAAATCTACACTGTAAGAACACACTGAAAAATGAAGCAGCACAAGTCTAATGAAGATACTGTAATAATGAACATTGGTAAAATGAAAGCTTTGTAAAAAGACTGAGGAAAATTCACTGTTATCATCCTGACAATGTAAAGTAGGAAGGAAATATAAATGAGAGAAAAGGAAA